TTGCCAACAGTCCTCTTTGGTTTCGCTTCCTAACAAGAGATCCTTCACATACTGTAGCAGAATGCAGTTTAGTCTTTATCCTGGGAAGGGAGCCAATTGGGCAGCTAAAGCTTCCTGGAATAGTGTGGGAGAGTTTTTGAAGCTTTGGAAGAGTTTCATCCAGGCAAGTTGTGTCTTTTGTCCTGTGTCAGGATCTTCCCACTTGAAGACAAATAGCAATTGGCTCTGGTGGTGCCAGTCATAGACAGAAAAAAGCATCTTTGAGGTTCAGGCAGGCAAACCAGGCCAGGTGAGAGCAGGGTCAGTAAAGTATACAGATTAGGCATGAGCCAGTGGATGGTCACCATGGCAGCATTGACAGCTCAGAGGTCTTGTACCAGTCAGCTTCCTCCAGGCTTCCAGACTTTTTGGGGGGGCGGGTACCGGGGATCAAACCTGGGACCTTGCACTTGCAAGGCAGGCACCAGAACCACTGAGCTAAATCCCTGGCCTCTTCCAGGCTTTTTTTTTTTTTGTACTGGGGATCAAACTCAGGACCTTGTGCTTGCGAGGCAGGTGCCAGAACCACTGAGCTAAATCCCAGGCCCTTTTCCAGGCTTTTTGACAGGCAGCAGGGAAGTGTTCCAAGGAGATTTTGGAGCTTGCGTTGGATATCAGTTTCTGCAGCTTACATCAGATGTCAGGAGCAGAATGGGCCACAAATGCAGCCTTTACCATGCATTGATTTTTTAGGAACCTCTGGATTGAATAGGGTGAAGATATGGAATGCTTCACAGAGTCACTCATAGAAGTCACTGAGCAATTTGTCTGCTTTTTGTAGCACAGAGGCAATCTTGGACATGTTTGCAGGCTTTTTGGCAGCTGCACTAAGACTGTGAAGGAGGGCCCCACAGTATCTGGTGAGGGCTTCTTGTACCCCAGTATTGTGGAACTCTGTCTGACCTGACTTCGGGAGCCATGAGTTTGGCCCATTCCATTGCATCTTGGCTGGCGGGGGCCGTAATCTGAAGATATTTCCTGGCCTCAGTGATGATTTTTATGTCTCCTCAGTGTTGAAGAAGGTATAGAGCAGCTGACAGCAGTTGTACCAGGTGGGCAGATGGGTTTGGAAGATGGCCTCCACAAGGTTGATGAGCACTTGGGGCTTTTCAGAATACGGTGTAGTATGCTGTTTCCAGTTGAGGAGATCAGTTGTATTGGAGGGTTGGTAGTAGAGGGTGACCCATCTGAGCTGGGCAGAACTATCTCCCAGGGTGGTGGGTGGAAGTCGGGTTTCTCATATTGGCAACTGGACTGCAGGAGGCTGAGCAAATCTAAGGTGCTTGATGAGAGGTGTCTCTGGGGAAATGATCTCATTGCCATGTGGGATGGTGGAGGAGTTGGGGACTTCAGTCAGAAGTGGTGAGTAGAGAAGGGAGTTGTCAGAGTGTGTGGGGGGGGTTGGTGTAACTGGAGACAGTGCTGCTGGTGAAGCAGGTAATGATTCAGAAGATGGGGTGGGGTACCTGAGGGAGTCAGTGGCAGCAGTTTGGAGGGTGGTGGGCTCTCCAGCTGAACAGGGGCTTGTAAAGGTACAGACAGTGGCTCGAGGACATAAGGCAGTGCCAGGCAGTCTTTCTCCTGTGGGCCTTGAAAAATCAGCTTTTTTGAGGTTTTGGAGAGGTGGCTACAGTTCGAGGCCACAAAAACTTGATTCTGTCCCTTCCTACCCATGCAGAATCGGACCCATGGCGGGATAGAGTCTGAGCTACCTCCAACCAAGAATCGGTATAGGGGAATCAGATCAGGGTGTCTAGGCTTGCCTGACATAACATTCCATACTGCCTGGACTGTGGGAACGTCTAGGGTCCCTTCTGCTGGCCACTCAACATTGAATTTGGGCCAGGCTATTTCATAGAAAGCCTTTAATTTGGAGGGTTTCATCATACTTTTATAATTTCCATTAAAGCCTTTTTTAAAAATGTAGTAACATTCAGTTTAAAACAGTTGTCTTACTCTGATGATTACCCATGATCTATGGTGTATGTGGTGCCTTTGAACAGTGTTACAACACACAAAGATTGCTATCTCCTAATGGAGACCACTCCGGCATCCACTCGGCTACATCCCTCATGGGAACTTGAGTGTTATTTGGCTAAGATGCATCCATATGAACCAGGGCCTGGTCAGCACTTCTATTGCGTGAGGCGAGTCACCATTAAGCTGTACACCATTGCAGTGGAACCGCAGGGTAGGACCCAATAAGACTCTGTAGCCAAAGCCATGGAGCCAAACAGACTAGTAGTGGGGGACCACACCCAATTACATTCACTCACACATACATTAGTCTTTCAGGATTAAAGCATTCCTTTCCCCTTAGGGAGATCCCTGGCTGACATCTCTGGCTTGAGATTTTGAGAGGTGATCAGTCTCTCCTTCTGTCCACTGGGACAGGCATGACTGAGAGTGGAGCTGGCGCCTGGGCCTTACCTTTTCCTGAAGTCCTAGAAGGGCTTCAGTCCCTCTTTCTCCGAGTCCAGTAGGGAAAAAGTAAGTGCAGCTGTCAGTTACCCTCACCCAATGAAAGAGATACCGCCAAATTCGGCAGGGACGTTGCTGTCTCATTCCTTGGAGAGGGCTTCCATCAGCCATCCTTTGACTCTGAGCTGGTGGCTCAGAGGGCCAACACAATCAGTTTCCTGGTCAGGGAACCAAATGTAGGAAATCTGAACCGCGGAATGACCTAAAGTCACTCAGAGGTAGAAGAAAGCCAAGGCTTAATTGAGTGGTCAGCCCAGTGAAGTTTGCGCTTCAGAAAACCTGGGCCCCAAGTATAGGAAGAGGTGTTTGTACAGTAGTTTAAGGTTTTATACAGTAGTTTAAGTTGGGGCAGACTAGGGGTGTGAATGAAGCAGAATTTTAAACAGGTTTTTAGCAGATAAGCAGATGTTGTAATTTTCTAAGGTTAGGGGCCTTTGAGTAAACATGAAGTTGTAAGTTTGAGGCTAAAATAACAGAATATAGCTAATACAAAATAGTAAGATACAGCTAGTAATGTTCTGTGGTTACATACATTGTGGTTATATTTAAGTATGAAACATAACCTCCTGGGAGGTGCTGTGGGGCTGTGTGTTTCTGAATGGGCTGAAGCAGGTAAGAGTCTGGGGCCTTTAAGGCTTAAAGGTTTAATTTTCTGTATTAATAGGAAAAATAGAATTCTATTGGTGTATCAGGCCCCTAGTAATGAAAATATGCTGTATTCCTGGATTTTGTGTTGTTTATAGATACACATCATGTCTTCAAAATATAATTTGTTGTCATTTCTTTTCTCTTTCTAAATTATTTACCTCATGTCTCACAACACCTAACCTTTTAAATGATGTATGAAGTAAAGAATATAGTAAAAGAAAACTAAGTTAGAAAATAGACAATGATAAATGAAGAAGTTACTCAGGAAGATTTAGCTAGGTTATTCATACCTTAACAATTCTTAGAGTCTGTCTTTGAGTTTAGTGATTGCTTTTGTTAGGTAATTGACCTATCATTTGTTAGTATGCAATAATTCATTTGCCTTTATCATTCATTTGCCTGTATTGTGCCTTTGGTTGTAACCTGACAGTGTTCTTTTCTTTTCACCCATATACCTACCCATGGTCTAGATCAAAGATGATGTGGGTACTGAGGGATGAACAGTAACATATTTTTCTCAGCTTTGTTTTCACTGCTGTAGGTTTGGTTTGGTTTGGTTTTGTGACTGAGTCTTGAATTGTAGTTCAGGCTGGCCTTGAACTGACAGTAGCCCAGGCTAGCCTTGAACTCATGGCAGATCTCCTGTCTCAGTCTCCTGAGTCCTGGGATTACAAGTGTGTGCTACCACCCTGGCTAGATTTTGCTTAAATTAGACAAATAAATAAGAATTTTAAGAATTAAGTAGAATATAACCAAAATTAAATTGGTGTGCTTATTTGAACTGTTACTATACCATGTGTCTTTGTACTTTTTTTAAATACTGATGATTTGGGAATTACTCCTATAACACCACTATTATGGAAACTTGAATATTAGAAAAGGTTAAATTGAGCCATTATTTGTAAAAATGTAATGTGTCCTATAAAAATCATTTTATAAAAAAACTTAAATTTTAGATTGTTTAAACTATGACCTACTTAAACATGATTAAATCAAAAGTTGGTGGTCATGGCACTAAGGTGCTATAACAAGATATAACCAGATAAATTGTCAGGTTTAATATCAGTGCAGGTTTATCAGTTATACAATATTTGAATTTATATGGATTACATTTATAAGAAAAAACTAAAATTACAGTGATACCTAAGTTGTCGAACTCAATTTGTTCCGAATTCAAGTTCAAATACCAGAAAGTTTAAAAACTGAACATATTTTTCTCATAAATAATGGAAAACCAAATAACTGGTTCTGAGGCCCAAAAATTACACCTAAATTCATAAATTCATTTTTCCAGGACTTTAACAAATTTCATAGTGATTTCTCTCTAACTCTATTGTGGGTATCAGTTTTCCTCTTAGCTTTACTGCTTGTATCACTAACTTGTCTTTAGAGCCATTCTTATATTTTACACAAATAAAGCATAAAAAAAGAGCACGATGACATGTTTTAACACACAAGAGCACTATATGTTGTCTGGTTGAGAGCAGAGCTTAGACTGAGACGTCACCCATATATGTCTGCAGGGAGACACACCTCGTCTCACTCTGGGTCCCATAACTGGGTTTTTTTCAAGTCAGATTTTTGGTTCGATTTTGAGCAAAGTTATGAATATTGAGCAGATTTCTTTTTCGAACATTGCTGTTTGAAAAGTGAACAGTTTGAGCTTGGAGCTGTTTGACAAAGTATCTCTGTATTTGTACTTGGTGACAGATGAAAATGAATAATTTCCAATAAAAGTAATTAAACTAGAGAGTCTCAGGGTCATTTTAGTATTGTAAATAAATAACTTTAATTTACTGGAGAAATGCATTTAAATATATTTTAAATTCTAGGATATAAAAGATGGCAAGTCCAGATAGAAGTAAACGGAAGATATTAAAAGCCAAAAAAACCATGCCTACAAGCTGCCGGAAGCAAGCAGAGATACTGAATAAGTTAAAGACTGTTGAAGTTCTGAAAACAACAATGGAGAATAATGTTCTAAGTGCTAATCAGAATTTAAGTACTGGAGTCATAACTGGAGAATGTAGACGTCCTGAAATTGTTGATTCTTCATTGAACTCTGAGAAAAATTCAGCATTTTTACTGAAAAGTGTAGGATTCCCTCAGAATTTAATGAAGCCTATAGAAAAAGTTATTCACTCAAAAACAAAATTGGAGTGTATTGATGAACAAGTTGTATGTTCTTACAAAAAGCCAAGAAAAACAATAGATTCTCCCAGCCAATTCTTTATACAAGAAGTGAAAGAGAAATGGAATACATCTGAAACTCATTTTGAATATAAGACAAATATAACATCATCCTTTTTTCAACATGAGCAGAATTGTAATCTAAAATCTAGTTGTCATTCACCCATCATTTTAAGTGATGTAGTTCAAAATACCTTGGAAGATAACAAAATCAACAAAATGGCTTCCAATTTAGAAGCAAACTCCAATTCAGAGTCACATGACGAAAGGCAAAATGACATTTTAAGTTCAGACTCCTGTTGTGTGCCTATTGCGAAAACACCTAACTGGGTGAATGTAGTCAGTTCCAGCAACTGTGTAGCTAACACTTTAAAAACTAAAGAATCCAGTAGAACCCAACACTCCAGCATTTCAGATTGTGAAAATACAGACTCAAAGCAGCAGGGCTTACTCAACACTGATGGTAATAACAGTAAGTATATACTTAGATATCTTCTGGAGAAATTAAAATAGTCACTTTCCTTTGGGGGATTTTAACATATGATATGCAAGTAAGTAGAGTACATATAGGCAGGAAAAAGATAAATGAATAATTATTTCAAAGTATCTTGGTCATGAACTTCTTGGTGGGGAGGGAGAAAGGTATTATTAAAGGAGAAAATTACAACAAACCTAGGGAAACCATGAGCAGCAAAAATGGTTCAAGAAGGCTTCCCACCATGTGGACAGGTTATATTGGTAGTCAGAGAAAAGGAAGTGACATACAGAGAAGGGAAATGAGGTAGTGTCACCCTGGTTACTTACAGTTCACATCTGTCATGCTTTGCACGTGTTTTGATCACTTTGTCATGTCTTATTTGAGACAGCTACATTTTATAAGATTAGATTACAGTGCATTCACTATGTACAGATAAATGTTTAAGCCAAACTTAAGTATACAGGCAGTTTTAGGACAAACCTGATTTCAATTTAACAAGATCTGACTTATCAGAAGTGGTTTATTTTGGGCCGGGGATTTAGCTCAGTGGTTCCGCCACCTGCCTTGCAAGCGGAAGGATCCGAGTTCGATCCCCGATACCAAAAAAAAAAAAAAAAAGAAGTGGTTTATTCTAACAAAGAAGGGAATAATCACTTCCTATGCACAAAAGGTGATTTATAGCAGCAGTTTGATTCATTTCAGATATATTTGTTATTTGGAAGGTTTTTTTGAGAAAGAGGAGGTTTCTTTTTTTCCCCCTGGTACTGGGGATCGAACTCAGGAACTTGTGCTTGCGAGGCAGGTGGCAGCACCACTGAGCTAAATCCCTGGCGTATTGTTCTTATAATTATTGATGAAGCTATTTCTTTTCTTTTTCTTTGTCTTGGTTTTGTTTTTTTTGAAACAGGATCTCACTATGTGGTTCAGCCCAGCATTGAACAGGCTTTGTAGCTCAGGCTGGCTTTGATTTTTGCAATCCTCCCACCTCAGCCTCCCAAGTGCTAAGACTACAGGCAGTTGCCACCACACCCAGCTACTGAAGCCATTTCTTACCATATTGTTGACTTGTAAACCACATGGGTAGCATAAGGCGTTGGGTAACAATATATATGTACATATAAATTTGTGTCATTGTGTATGTAAAGAGAGCAGCATATACCAAATTATTATCAAGTGAAGTTGTGGGGTTATAAAGTTATTAAAATAGCAAAACTAAGTTTCATTAAAGGGGGGATTTATGTTTGATATTGAGTAGAAGAGAGTATTGACTTCAGAGAACTTTTGGGTTTCGTCTAGGCTACAGAGTAATCATTTAATAAGATGAATTTTAAATTGCTTAAAAATAATATTGGGTCACATATGGAAAATACATAGGACTGCCTAACCAACTACTTGTAAAAATAATGTAGGACTACTTAAGAAACTGCAAATAGAGTAAATGATATAATTCAGTTTTTGTTGGTGTATACATATCAAGTAACATTGAAGGGGAAGGTATGTGATACGAGAACCTAAGACAGGTTTTTGATTTTTTTTTTTTTAACATCAGTTTGTGGGAATATTTTAGTGCAATTAAATTTTCTAAAAAATGCTATCGTCATATTTTAGTTTTTATATTTGTTTAAAGTGTCCTTATTCTCATTTCCTTCTTTATAAGGAATATTTTTTATCTCTAATCTTTCCATCTCCCCAAGGCTACAATCAAAAGAAGATGTTTTCAGAAAACAAAGAAAATGTTAAGCGCATGAAAACTTCAGAGCAAATTAATGAAAATATTTGTGTATCTCTGGAAAGGCAAACAGCAGTGCTGGAACAGGTAAAATATTGAGGCATAAATATGTGCCTAAGAATTTTACTTGTGATTAGTAAAAAAGTGTTAAAAGTTAATTAACTGATCCCCATAATAAGATAGTACAGATGACTTTAACTTGAGCCAAAGCTTGGTATTTGAAAACTGAAATAACAGACAGGTAATTATTTATGTTACCACAATATCTCTAGTTTTTCCAAAGTGATTCCAGACAGAGTGACCTGGGAATCATGTGTGGGAAGAGTCCTGTTGTAGAAAGAGAGTTCACTTTTTAATCAATATTATGCTTAAATCTCTGTGAAAGTCAGAAATCACCTTGAGCTTTGCTAAATAATCTAGTCTCTCTGTGTTCTGGTCATGAGGCTCCTTCATCTGCAGCTGTAGATCTCATCATAATTGTTATAATTTCATAGACTCAGATATCCATGAAGTCCATTGTAAAATCCTGCTGCATACAGGTTTACTTCCCCTGGTAGTCAGACTAAGGAGGCTATATTGCATTAGCTGACATTTTATTTTGTAGCACCCTGAATATACTTCTCATTGTCACTTTGCCCCATATCATTTTATTATTCTACAATATCCACACATGTTTGATCAACTCAGAGTTGAAGTACAATGAGCTTCAACTCTAGTAGAATGGATGTAAACAGCCCCTGTTTTGAGGATCGGTGTTACTATATCACGGCCACTAGAATGCTACCATTAAAAGACATTATATTGTAGATAAATATCTCTTAGCTGTAATAGACCAAAATTTTTCAATCCAAACAATCCTATTTTAGGGGAAAAAATAACTACTGTTTTCTAAAACAGATCATTACAGTTGCATAGTTTATAATCCATGAATATGTATTTACTTAATAAAGAAAAACTTTAAAAGATTCATTCAGAACCAGTGTAAAAGGTAAGTTGTAAATTTTTCTCTTTCTACTTCCTGTTTTCTTCAGGAATACCAAAGGCGACATTAATTAAAAAAAAAAAAGTAGGTAATTGGCCTATTGCTGGCAGGGAAGGCATAGTAGACACGTGGAACAAGCCCTAGGACCATGTTATCTGAAAAAGAAAAACGGATGAGGATTCCATCTGTCTGTTTCCAGTGATCAGTGACTACCATCAGAAATAAGTTATGATAGGTACATAAAAACACAAAATTTAGTAGGGCTTTTGGACATTTTAATTTCACTGGCATAAAAAAAAATCAGGGTTCTCAGTACTATTGTATACCACACAAAACACTCAACCCAAGTTGATTGACAGAAAATATTACTTCCCAGTGAACTTAAGTAATGCAGTTTTTCTTATACATTTTTGCACATTTCTTGTACAAGAGGCAATTTGGATATTGACTAATTCCTTTTTCCTGTCTCTAAATAGCTCATTTGGCTAATACTTTTCTGCTCATTTGGTGTAATTCCATACAAATGTCTCTCTAAACTGTATCTGGTACTTTAGTTTTGCAGTGCTGGGGATAGAACCTAGGGATAGCCAAGCACTCTACCATTGAGCTAGATAACTCCAGCTCTGGAAACCATATCTATAGGTTTATTTTGTTTGAGTCTCATTAATATAAGGCCCCTGTTCTGACATTGTTTTTCCCTATTGATTGAAAGCCCTAGAGCTGTTGTCTGTGATCTTTTGAGGTTTTAAAAGGGTCTAGGCCTAGCTGACTCCAATTAGATTACTGAACCAGAGGAGCTTTTTCTCCAAAGTCCAACTTATTCAATCTCCCTACAATTTAGATTGAGGATATGTAAGTTTGTACTTTTTACAAACTTTAGTTCAGCTTGGCTGCCATCTGCAAATTGAAGCCAGGTTTCTTTCTACTTCCATGATGTTGGGCACATGACAGTTTCTAAAAGACATTTGTGAGGTATTCGATGGAAGTCATTGTGTTTTCCTTGTATAAAGAACATTACCATTAAATGAGAACAAACATCCACTCTAAGAGGAATCACCATTGTTGGGCACTTATTGTAAGATTGTCAAGTTAAAAAATCACTTCTGTCTGAATCATTATGAGTACTTGTTTGAAGTGTGACTCTTTTGAGCTCACTAATATTTAAAAGTTATTGTTTTGTCAAATCTAAAGAATCACTGGGATTGCCTATTAATTATACAATTTTCCAGCTTCCTTTCCTGGAAATTCTTTGGATCTAGGATGTGGCTTAGGAATTTGTGTTAAACAAAGTATCACATGTGATTTTTCTTTCCAGGGAAGTTTGAGAAACATGTTCAAAGAATTTAGATGTGTTTCTGCAAGATTTCCTGAGTATGAGCTTCACATATTGACTCCAGCCAGTGAACTGGCAAGCATGCAATGATGCCTAAAAAGTACACATAGGTTTAAAAAAAAAATAATTTTTGTCAGTAAAAATGGTATATGTTTCCAAACTTTGGTTTACCTGATGAATTAACATATTTTGAGCACTCTATTATATATAAATATATTTTGAGCATTACAGAAGAGATCAAGTAGATGACAATGCTGAAGAATGAAAATAATTGGCAACAAGAAGGAGAAACCTTGGGAATAATTAAAATTATCTAATACTATACAATTAATTATCCAAGTGATATCAGTGTGAAAAAGTTCTAACATGGAAACTGCACCATGAAACAATATACTTTGGTCAAGATGTAATTATTACTCTTCCTTTTTTTTTTTTTTTTAAGAAATCCATCCTCTGACAAAGGCTTTTCTGACAACTTTCCATACAGTTAGCCAAAAAATAAAAAAGTACAGAATACAACAGACATTATTTTATGTACTAGAAGTCAACACAACAGGCATCAAAATGTAATGACTCCTTAAGTGTATCACTGCAGGTGTCATTATTAAAGGACCACTCTTGCTATGAAAGTTGCTTATAGGAGAATAATACTTAAGCACAAAACTACAGTGTTTCTCTGAAAGTGTAAATAAGGAGTAAAAGGTATAATAATGTGAAATAGGAAGAAAAGGGGCAACGGGGAAGGGGAAGTGGGAGGGGTAGGGGAAAGGAAAGGGAATGGAATTAATATGAGAAAATGAAAAAATGGATACAGTCTTTGTAAATAGGGAGGGATGGAGGGGTTGAAAGGAGGGCAGGGGAAGAGGGAAAAAATAAGAACCAAGAGAGTATGTAAAGTTGCATATCTCTAATGATGAATGTCGTTATATTGTACACCTAAAATGTACCAATAAGAGGGTATATAAAAAAGAAAACTACAATGTTTCTGAATGTAAGTCTCAACAGAGCTGTTCGTATCATTGGGCAATGAGATTATATGCTTCCTGAAAAGGAGCCAGTCTATTTAAAAAAAAAAAGAAAAAAGATAATGAAATACATTGATTTTTTAAAAATATATATATAAGACTTATTACAGTCTTTCAGAGTAGTATACATTGTGCCAGATTGCATTAATCACAACATAATTGTCCATGGCTTCTTTTAATTTTAACATCACAAACCTAACCTCTAAAGAGTTATGCAAATAATGGTAATTGTCTTGCTTATTTATTTCTCTCATATCAATTAAGTATTTTCCATTTTATGGAATTCTTTTAAATATTACCTTATTTTCTTAAAAAATCCTTTTGGTAGGCCAGGGATTAGCCTAGTGGCACCGTGCCTGCCTCACAAGTACAAGGTCTGAGTTTGATTCCCAATACCAAAAAGAAAATCCTTTAGGTATCACTCATTCAATGGACATTTACTCTATCATCTGTACATTTGTGGACAGAAGATGAGACTTTATGACTTTTCAAAGGCCATATCGCTTGCTAATGGCAGGATCAAGCCCCAAACTCGTATAATTTGTTTATATCTACTATAGACCAAGCATTTTTATCAGGCTGTGGTTTTCATGTAAGTAGAGCTCTTTGTTTATGAAATACTAACATTTCATCAGGGTCATTAAAAAAAATAAGTGGAGTATACTCTTGTAATGTTTTTTATAATATATATTTTGGAATAATAATCAACTGGAAATAGAAGAAACTAAAATTAGCACTTTGAGAATAAATTTAATTTGTAACATGTCTGTATATTTAAATATTGGACATGTCATGCTGAGCTCAATACTCAAGTTTTAGAGAAACTTAATGATGCAGAACTGGGTATTGTGGCACACACTTGTAATGCCAGCACTCGGGAGGCTGAGGCAGGAGTTTGAAGGAGCTGCAAGTTTGAGGCCATCCTGGGCTGCATAGTGAGTTCACGGTCAGCATGAACTATATAGCAAGACTGTCTCAGAAAACCAACAAATAAAACTTACTGGTGTAGAAATGTAAGTACAAACATAAAAATACAAATGTATATTTTGCCATTACATTAAATCTAGAAAAAGAACAAAGCTATTTTTTAAAAAAAATAGAAGATAAAGTTGCTTTAAAATGCGAAACCTGGGGTGTTTTGGTTTTTATTTTAAAATTCTAGGTCAGACATTTGATTCGACAGGAGATTTGTAGTATAAATTTCAAACTATTTGATAAAAAACTGAAAGAATTGAGTGAACGCATTGGGAAGATACAGTGCAAGAATAAACATGAAGCAATAGCTGGTGAACTCTTCGTAAGTGTCTAATTTCATTTGAATCCTTTTAAAAAGTAGAATTTGATGTTATTTTATGTATTATGAAAGGCAAACAATAAAGCAAGACCCAAATTTGATTCTAGGCCACAAGTGTGATTTAAGACCATATAGTTGACAATACAGAATTTATTATAAGCCAGCAGTATCAACCCTTAAGAAATACTCTTGGAACTCTCACACATTCTATGTCAATTGACATGTTTAATATATAAGTAGTCTTTTGATTCTATATCCTTTTTAGGGCTTGTATTACCTCTCTGAAGCTCCTTTATATTTTTTTATTTTAGTCTTCTAAGGTTACTTCCTGATAGTTTCATTGTTGACCAATTAAAATTTTTATGTTTTTATATTATGTTGAATATCATACAAGCATAAAATCTTTAAATGTTTTGCTTATACAGTCATCCCCTTCATATCCTTGGGTTCTGCTTCTGTGTGTTCAACTAAATATGCATTGCAAATAATCAGAAAAAGAATGTCTGTTGAACATATGCAGTCTTTTTTTCTTGTCATTATTCTCTAAATATGGTATAACAACTGTATACATAGCATTCATACTGTATTAGGTGTTACAAGTAATCTAAAGATTTCAGTTGTACAGGAGGATATGTGTAGGATATATGTAATATGGCATTATATATAAGGACCTCAGCAGCATCCACAGATTTTGGTATCTGTAAGATTTGGAACAAACCCCCATGGATACCAAGGGATGAATGTATAAGAATTTTTAATTTATGCTGGTTGTGTTGGTGCACACCTATAATCCCAGCACTATGGGTGGCAAGAGGATTGCAAGTTCAAGCCCAGCTTTGACAACTTGGCGACTTCATGAAACTGTCTCAAAATTAAAGGACTGAGGATGTAGCTCAGCACAAAGGCCGTGGGTTCAATCCCTGGGACTGTAAAAAGAAAAAAAGAGAGAGAGAAAAAGATAAAAGAAATTCTCGTTAATTTGCATGGATGCCTAAATCTAACAAGACTACTCTGGCAAATAAGTTTTCCTCTGCCTCTCTATGTTATTTATTACTCTGGTTTGGTGATTACTTACTTTTCGGTCTTCCAGGCAAAAGTGTCAAGATTTCAGAAACACATTAAAGCAGTCTTAGAGTTTCAGAGGAAATGTTTGGAAGCAAATACATTCTCCAGTAATAAAGCCTTTAAGGTTGGTATAAACACTTAGGAGTTTTTAATAACCTAGTTGACTCATAGTATAAGCAGTTGGCTTATAAAAAATGAGTATATTTTCAAACTAGGACAGACATCTTTAAACGACAGTAAACTTAGAATGTTTCCATGTATCTGTCTCTGAAGAAGATATTCGTAGATAGTGTAGTCAGTGGCTTGTATCTCTTCAGTAAAGGGAGTAGAAAGGGTATTGGTGATTGCCTAGATTGTTTACCCAGCCCACAATTTTAACATGAAAAGCAAAGTTGAATTTTATAGAACAGATTTGTATACTCAGCACCTAGATCTTACCATACTTACTTTTCTCATCTGTTTATCCCCTCTTGACCATCTTGTATTTGGTGTAAACTGCCAATATATTTTTGAATTTTGTTTGTTTTTATGGATGTTTGTGTGTTTGTGGTGGTGGGGATTGAACTGAGGGACTTAACATTGAGCGGCATTCCCAGCCCTTTTAATTTTGAAACAGGATCTTACTGTTGCACCCAGCGAGAAAGAACCAACCAGAGACCGTTATTAAATCCACACAGGAGTTTATTACCGGCCAGGACCGGAGCTGAGCATCGGACTCAAGCATCCACTGGGGGGAGACAAACATGTTTTATACACCTTTGAGGCCAACAGTTTCTAGGCCCCCCTATGGGATAGAACTAGTTAAGCAAGCAAAAGGTACAGAAGCAGAACGTCCTGCTGTTAGAACATTTGTAAAACAATAGTTAATTGTTGTTTCTAAGAGGCTCTCTAAGGGGAGGAGGTTTCTAAGCTTCCTCCTCTGAGTTCATCTAAAGGGCAGGCAGGTGGGTCAAGCAGCAATATGGAGTCTGTCTTGCTAACTAGGGTCCTTCATTTCCTAAATCACCAAGTGGGGTTCAACTTTCACTCCTTCTTACCTTAACCCCCAGAGTTCTGGGATTACAGGCATGTCCCACCACAACCTGGCCTGTTCATATTTTATATATAAGATTTATAATGTTCACTTTTATTTTTTTCTTGTAATGTGTTTATCTTGTCTTTGGCTTCAGATTTATGTTAATCTCATCTAATGGAGAAGCATTCCCTTCTCTGAATATTTGTGTAAAATTTTTGTTCCTTAAATGTTTAGTAGAATCAGTCTGAAAACTGATTAAAGAGCTTTATTCTGTAGGGAGATTTTTTACTTAACAATGTATTCTTTTGATTGTTATTTTTAATTGTTTTAATAGGTTCTCACTATGTAGGTGACTAGAAACTCATGATCCTCCTGCCACAGCCTCCTGAGTGCTAGATTACAGATATGTGCCAGCATGCTTGGTTTACAAATTAAGTTTTTTTCTTCTGGTACTGGGCCTTTGTCCTATTATATATTTATTTATCCACTTATTTTTAGGGGCCGGGGATTTAGCTCAGTGGTTTCGCCACCTGCTGCGCAAGCGCAAGGACCAGAGTTCGATCCCCGGTACTAAAAAAAATAAAGAAAATTTTGTAAAAAGTCACACATTTATTTTTGAGACAGGTTCTCACTATGTAGTCCAAGCCAGCTTTGAACGCACTAGGTACCTCCAGCTGGCCACAAACTCATGATCATCCTGCCTCAGCCTCCTTAGTGCAGGGATTACAGGCCTGCGCTACCATACCCGACCTCTGCACTGTTTAACAGTGCTTGTGTTTGTCTTCCAAATACTTGGGACTTTCTTTGAATCTTATTTTTATTGATACCTAATATAATTCCACTTTGATCAGAGGACATTATGTGTAAAATTTAACTTTTAAGAGTTATTGACACTATATATTAGCATGTGATTTTGATTGGTGAATGTTCCATGTACAGGATGTTGACCTCAATATCCTACAAATGGTAGTTTTGTGTTAATTGTCCAAAGGTGGGTGATAATATTGTTCAGATTTTCTGTGGCTGTGGTAGACTGAATAATGGCCCCCAAAGATGTCCATGACCAAATCCCCAGAACTGTGAATATGTTACATGGTAAAATGGGATTTATAGATCTGATTAAATTAAGTATTTTGAGATGAAGTGCTCATCCTGTATTACCTGGGTATGTTCAGTATAATCTGAAAGCTTACAAAAAGAAGCAAGGTCAAAGGCAGAAAAGATGGGGAAATGGAAGCAGAAGTTGGAATGATGAGGATTGAAGACATAGGAAGAGGGCTCAAGCCCAGGGAAGCAGGCCTTTAGAAGAAATACTCTTGATTTCAAACTTCTGACCTCTGGAATTATAGAATGAATTTCCAGAGCGTGTGTTTGTTTTTGTGGTACCAGGGACTGAAACCAGGGCCTTCACACTGAGCTACATTTATAGGCCTTTTTTTATTTTTATTTTTTAAAATTTTGAGATAGCCTTGCTAAATTGCCCAGGTTGGGCTTAGTCTTAACAATCCTCTTGCCTCAGCTTCCCAGAGTACTGGGATTATAGACATGTGCTACCATGCCTAGAAATTTCTGTTTTTTATTTTTTGGTACCGGGGATCGCACTCGGACCCTTGTGCTTGCACAGCAGGCAACGAAATCACTAAGCTAAATCCCCGGCCCAGAAATTTCTGTTTTAAACTTTCATTTTATATTAGTTTGTCAAGGTATCCTAGTATAGGAACTAATACAGAATTTGGTACTAGGGAACATGGAGTACTGCTGTAACAAATACCTAAAACTGGAAGTAACTAATCCCTTGGAAGGATAAAAGGTCACAAAGGGCCGGGGATTTAGCTCAGTGGTTCTGCCACTTGCCTTGCAAACACAAGGACCAGAGTTTGATTCCTGGTACCAAAAAAAAAAAAAAAAAAAAGGATAAAAGGTCGCAATATTCAGCCACACCGAGAGATCTTTGGAGAGGTTCGGCATCTGAATCTCTTTCAGCAGGCAATTGTCCTATTTAGGCTCATTGTGTGGATCTTGCTTTCCTTTTGTGAGCTGTAGTTCTAGTAATAGTTTACTTTTCAGAGCTCTCATCTACACTTCTGCTTGGCTTCGTTTGTGGAGCTCCACTGGGTCTCCCGTGCATTCTCTGCAAGTGACACTCCATCCCTAGTGCCATTGGGTAGGAAGTTCAAGAAACTTTGGCCTGTGGTCACTGCCAGGCATGAGTTTGGGCCAGCTGTTGCCTTAGGTGTGGGGCCAGCATGCTGCTGATGCTTTAGGCCCTGCTGCTGTCCCACATGTGGAATGATGCCCTCACTGATATAGAAGTGGATTAGGCCAGTGATTCTCCTTTGGGTGAAGTTTCTGGAAACTGACCCTTGGCTGGCCTCTGCTGCCGCTGCTGTTGCAGTAAGTCAAACTCCCACTGTCCCGGGTATCAGGCGGGGACTCAGCTGACACTGCAGGTACTGGGGGGAGGTAGCCACCATTGCTATCAGTTTGGGCTGAGAGAAGGGTACCTCATTATTTGAGTTGTTTTATAATTATCCAGCAAATTATTTCCAGAGTTGTAAGTATTACAGTTGGAGGGGAGGAGCAGAAACGAACAATTGAGTCCATGCTACCTTGTACTGGAACTGAAGGTTGCCACATACTTTTGCTGTTGCTTTCCAATATTGTTTAAAACCTATTCTTCATATAAAATGTTTATTTAATAACATTTTAGAATTCTACCTCAGTGTATCTGTAGTTTTGTTCATGCTGTCCCTTAGAAAAGTGTGAGTTGGGCCTATGGACATATATTTTAAATGCTGCCAGTTCTGAACCAGAGCATGGACTCAATGTTTCAGCTCCAAGTTTTAAAAAACATCACCAATTGGAAAAGTGAGTTGGCAATCTGATTTTTTTTCTAATCTTTATTAGAAATAAATAAAATTTAAAAGCTTCCTTGTTAATGTCTAATGTTTCATTAGTTCTTAAAACTTAAGCTAATAGAAATGTTATCTGAAGGACCCGAGTTCAATCCCTAGTACCAAAAAAAAGAAAGAAAAGAAATGTTATCTGAGTATCTAGGTATTTATTTTCCCTCCTTTTTAACCTAAGCTAAGAGGTTGACTTGTACCATAATTTTTATTAAAGTTTTTAAAAATTTCATTTTGGTAGAGAAATCATAATTATGGTCGTCAGTCACTATAATACGAATAATTTAATATATTTTGTCATATACATGCAAGAATATTTTTCAAGTGAAAGTTCTTCTCCCCTCAAGTGCATTTTCCTCACCCATGTAACAGATTGGAAATTCAGAGACCATGATTTTGGATAAGAATCAAGAGTTGGTTAACAGCCAGAATGAAAGAATGACTTCTATGAACTGTGAACCTTCCAACCCTTCAGAAAAAGCAAGTGAAAGAATTAATTTGCCATCGGATTGTGTTGAGTTTGTTTCTGAAAGGTAGGCATTTCTACAAAATACATAGGATAGTTATCTAAATATATTCCTAGAAACATACTCAAGCATGAAATAGTTTAAAGCTTTATATTCACTTGAACAGTTTTTTCTCTTATGAAAGAATATAATTGTTTCTCTAAAGCTTTTTACCATTTTTTTTAACAATACTAAAATTTTGAATTGGTCAGGAGAACAGGCCTTTGTTATATATGTGGAAAAATGAAGGTCCTGTGAAACAGTGTTCTTATGGTTTTTGTTTTTTTAATTACACAGAAGAGCTGGTAGGACTAGGAAAGAAGTGCCTGAAATTATTTCCCTTCATATTGAAAAGTCATATGGTAATTAATTAGGGTGAACAGATTTTACATGTCTAATGGAGTGACAGAGTAGCCGAGACATCTAATACCTAGTCTAAAAGATTTGGGGTACTATGAAAGAATGAGTTTAATTCAACAGAGACATGTTTGATGTCTCAATCCTACCCTGGATTGATGTTCAAAGGAAGGGATGGGGCATATAAGGAATTCTTTTCTCATTACTGATGATAGGCAACAGTTTTGGAGCTTTACAGTACTAAATATTCTTTTTTTTTTTT